ATAACAGGAAAAGCGTCTAACCCTAGCCCTAAATTCCCTATCTTAGCTCCCTATCCTGTTGCTACCACCCCTTGGCAGAACACAGTGAATCCACCCCCAACCCCATGTGCTTGTTGACGTACTGCTGCATCCTGGCCATAGCCCTAATCCTGGCTGTCTGGCTTGAGAAAGACTTAGATTCAGATGGAAATCCTGTTCTGGAATCCCACAGTTTCCAAATTCTAACACTAACCTTAAAACAACTCCCCCTCACCACCCTAAATCCCAAACAAACAAACAAACCTCACCCAACCCAAAACAGTTGCCACAGTTCCTAAAGATTTTTCTGTTCATGATTACTATGGGTACTGAACATCTAGATGATATACAATAGGCATTACCATTTTTTTTCTTTGTTGCATCTAGACCCAGCACTGTCTGGAGACATAATGCCCGTAAGAGAGAGGCTTTGCAGCAGATGGGCTGGGACAGTAGAAGCAGAGGTTTGGAGCAGGTGATTGAAGCAACTGATCTGAGTGAGTGGATTCATCAAGTTAGGGTATCTGTTACAAAGTTTTTTCCCTTTGTGGCACTCTGTGTAAGAGAAAAAATGCCTCAAGGATAGGGGCGATCTTTTTTTTTTTTTTTTTTTTTTCCCCTTCTAATATATGACCTTCTAATATAAATCACTCTACCTGGAGTTCATTGCCTTGAAGAGCTACCTCTCTAGGGTGGTCTGAAGTTCAGTCAGGAGGGACTTGATCTCATATCCTGTAACCTCAATGAACGACGTTGGTGATATTTGCCTACAGGCACTTGGATCAGGTCTTTAATGTTTCTAATTTGCTTGGAAGATGAATAGCCCTATATCCTGGCTATTAAGTAATTTAAAATCCTTACTGAGAAATACATGATCTCAGAGTATCTGATTTCCCCTGAATAATTTTTCTAAATTTCAGAACACTTCCTGGAGTACTAGCTTTTCAGAAAAGTTGTAGGATACCTGGAATGTTTGAACAGTGCTTTTTTTTTTTTCCTTCAAACTCTTTATGCTTCTTCCTTTCTTCTTTATGGCTTTAGCTTCAGTCTTGCCATTAGCCCTGTGTGAACAGAGTCCTCTGCCTGATTGGCATTCATTGAAAAATTGGGGCCTTAGAGACTGCCTGACCTCTAGTTTGTCCTGTGAGCATGTCTAAGGTGTACTCACCGTAATAAATCCCAAAGACAGCTGCTGCTCCGACAAATGCTCCCAGGAGTTGTGCTAATATGTAAATTGGTAATTTGGTCCATTTTAATCTTCCAGTCACGCACATGGCTAATGAAACGGCTGGGTTTATGTGACCACCTGAAAAATAAATCACAAAATAAGTCATATGGATGACTCAGATACATGAGAATAGGTGAAGGATTTGTAAAAATGTGGGCACTTCTAAGCACAAGACTAGCACATGCTTTTCTAGATGTTATTTTGCAATTAAATGCTGACTGCAATTAAACTGAAACAAGCTGGATGAAATTGGGAGGAGGGGGAGAAGCCAGTATCCACCAGGATCCAGCTTCCCTCTTGATGTTTGCAGGCTGTGTTATTTATCAGACTGATGTCCTGCAGTATATAATCTATAGATCTATAGACAACTTTTCTAGAAAAAGCTTAAATCTGCCCTATTGATTGTGATGGGAGGGTCCATCATTCTGCACATATTCTCTCTCCTCAAGTGCTTTGGCTTTTTATTTTTAAGGGAGGATTGGGGCAGCAGAACATTCATTGAGTTTAGCAAGCATGTATTAACATTAAGGACTGTTACTGTCTCGATCATATATCTTGAGGCAGATCTGGATTTAAGTCATGTTTATGTTCCTGTCTTCAACCTGGGGTTATTTAGGAACTCAGTTTTCATGAACATAAAATAAAATAATGTTAGGGCTGTTCAGCTTCATGCTGACTGTTGGTAAACTATGCCTAGATGGGATCTGGGGACAGCAGTGCATAGTTCTTCATCACACATTTTCATTAAGCTCTTACATCCTCCAGAAAGGTCCATGATAAGGAAACTGATAAAGTAGCTGTGCTGAAACAGTGTGTTCTATTTCCTGTGGAATTTCCTCCCTTTGTATTTAGGAGTAGCTACATCTAAAGTCACACATGGAAAAGATTTCAGCAACACTGGAATTCTTCATGAAAATTTTAGTCTCTAAAATATATTTATTGTTATGTCACAATAACATGTGACATAACATGTTTCCCTCAACATGGAAAAAAAAAAGTGTTGAATGCTTTGGAAAACTTCATTTTTTACAAATATGTAGTTGACACTTAAGAAATACCAAAACTGCCAAACAAATAAGCACATGAAACAGTAGTCTGCAGTAAAAATAGAGTAAACCCCAAGTTTCGCAAGGATATAGCAGATCCATTGCTTACCTTCCAGGTAAAGTCTCATTTCAGCCTGTATGGTTATCAGAAAAAAATAGCCTTTGTCTTTAATAAAATAACTAAAAGAGCATGACCTTTGTCTGTCAAAGGCTAGTGATGGAGAAAGGGCCTCTATGTACAGTTTCTGTGTTTGCTTGCACTTCAGGTCAGTGAGTCATTATCTTATGAAATCCAGGCACCCTTGATACGTAATGAACTGACAAACATAGATAACAAACTGGATAAAACCTTCTTTGTGACATTTCCAAAACTCTGACCTAGTAGCACCAGTCTTGAATTAATTTTGAATTCTTCACTGTGTTTCAAAGTCTTCAGCACAGAGCAAATGGATGGGTGGCACCTTATTTAACAGCCCTTCATGTGAATGTTGATAAATTGTTGTCTTGTCTTTTGTTCTTTATTCTGGCTGGAATGAATCATCTTCCTTTCTTTCAACACCTGATATTGTTCCCCACCTGTATATAATACAGGGTCATTATGATGGCCAGGACAAGTCATAATAATATTGGAGATGTCTGATTAACATTAAATCTGGAAAGGAAAAGTCTAGTCAAAAGCTCTCATGCTGACATAGGGGACTTAAAAGATTCTTGGTTTGTGTGCCACTGGTAGTTTCCTGTTTTTTTTAAAAAAAAAAAAGTCCTCTTTGGACAGTGTGTTCCCCATTCTTCTGTAGTTGCAGTGATCACAGTCATGAGTTTGTTTGAAACGTTGAAAAAAAATGGTGGGAAATTATCTAGACATTGAGGAAAATTAGATGGAGGAAAAGCAAAAAGGGCAATTTTCCTAGATAAAAGAGCTCAACTCTACCAAGTGTCCAGACTGTATATTTTATGTTACCATGAATTTAGAGTTTCATAAAGCACTGATGCAAAATATTTTAGCAGTACTTAAACATGAGACTTCATGGCCAAAGAGCCACAGAATTTGCTAACAAATTCTGTATAGGAACTCATATTCAAAAGTGTCCACTAGTAATCATATGTTGGATAGTCATAGCCTATTGAAAAATCTATTCCTGTTCTTTCACAGAGAAAATGCACTGCATGCAGAATCCTTTGTCATGGGAAAAACACAGGAAGCACAATACTGCAACATCTGCAACTGCTCTGCCTTGCTGTGATTGAACTATAATCTATAGCACAGAGATGAATACCCCTTAAAGATGCAAATGTAGGACAGGTTAGTGTCTTTACAGGATTTTTTTCATGATATTGCATTAGAAGAGTTTACCCGCCTACACATAAACCAAAGCTGTAGTTTAAAGTTGTTCGGATAATAGGAACATACTGCTGAATTATCTCTGTGTGATATTAAGGAACCATTCTGCTCTGTTTCAACGATAGTAACAACACTGCCTGTTTTGCAGTACCTTGAGCACTTTCTAATGTTAACTTAGCAACCTTCTCCTGCATGGTGTCTCTGTAAAAAAAAAAAAATTTAAAAGAGAAGATAAATAGCCACAGTTATTTCTGCTACAGCAACTATTTATAATGGCCTAGTTATACCTAGAGATACCTGCCCAGATTGACTTTACCCTCTTTATGAAAGGTAAGAAATGCCTCTGTGAGAACTGGAGTACAAGGACACCATTTGCTTTAAGAGGGCAATGTAAACTCCACATACAACGCGGAGTATTGTGTATTATAATACACAACGCTGTGTATTATCACAAACCATAATTTTCTACTTTAAAGGGAGAATTTAAACATTAAAAGCAGTTATGCCCATGTTTCTGATATTAATTTGGCCAAACTAAATGGTGGAAATAGGAGACAAAGCACCATCCAAAATAGCACACGTAGACAATGATTAGTTAGCTACAGACAAAAGAGAGATTCCTGACCAATATATATTGACCAAATGCTATAGCAGAAAAAAAGGGGCAATGACAGTACATTGACAGTGTATCACAGAGTGTATCTCTAGTACTAAATCTTTTAGCTGTTTTCTGCTTTCTATGATCTGCTGCTTCTGCGAATAAGCAGACAGGAGCATATTTGCTACTGCCTGTCATAGGACATGAAGAGATAAATTGCACTCTGTGAGGTGAACACTGCTCCTTTATACCAATTAGTGGGTGACTGCTGGATTCTGTAAACTTTTCATGGTTATTTCCTTAAACGCAGTGCCTATGCTGTCCAGGATCATCTGTATTGACAGAATTCTCAAAGCAAGACGAAGCAGATTTCTGGTTTGCACAGTCCACTTTCGATAAAGGCCAGAGGTCTGCTAAGGTTTGCACACTGTAGTTCAGATCAGAATTTGGTGGAAGATTTTGTCAAATGCAAAGAACAGAAGGAAACAAGAATACAAAAGATTTACTAGCGAAACTGACTCTGCTGTAATGGTGCTTGCTATTGCTAGATACATAATTGTTTATACCATGAGATGGAAGTAATTTAATAAAGTAGCCTTAAAACCCCAGTAATAAATACTATATAAGAAAAAAAAAGTCACTTACCAGAAACGCCCCCGGACACATACACTGCTATGGTGACTGCCATTGCAAATCCAACTGATACTGTCATGGGTCCACCATGGGCTCCTCGGCTAAGGACAGCCTGTCCCACACACCCACATCCCAGTGCCTGTATTTTAAGAGAAATGTAAAACCATGAGTGTGTCTGTCAAATGTTACTGGTTAGTTTGCAACTGCTGTTGCTGTCCAGGTATAGCTGAAATTGTTGTTACATAGTGAAACAATGCTAGAATTTGAGATTAGTGGCATGTGTGCCATCATTGCCTTTGCTGCAATGAACATTTGGTCTTTATTTTCCCCTGTTCTCTGACCAGGAAGAATGTCTGCTAATAATGACCTCTCTCTCCCCAGAAAACAGCTTTCAGGCACAATGATGGGATAGAAATCAAAACTTGGGGCCTAAACAAGATCTCACAGCCTCTACAACAAATCTCTGCATCTGAAAGTGAAGAGGGGATTAATTCTGTGTGATAAGTTTTCAGTTCCAGATTGTTGTTATAAGCAATGAAAAAATTTCTATAAAAGTTATGAAAGATAGTTCAAAAAGTTTTTAATGTTTAATGTTGAAATTCTGGAATGAGACAACTTACTGGAGATTAGAGTGTGTGTTACTGTTATGCTGCCTTGAGATCACATATTGCTCTATCAAACTATTTCACTGGCTCTGCCGTTTGAACAATTAACTGAAGTGGGGATACCTGAACAGTTCACATGGGAGTATTCTCAATGGATTTAAACTGGCTTCCATTTTATTTTGGTTCCCCCCAGAATGAAGTTCAGCAACACATTTAAATGTATCCTTAAGATCATGTTTATTCAGTTCTAAAGCTTCTGCTTAGCTTCAGGCATATGTTTAGGTCCTATTAAAGTTGGTAGGAAAGATATTCAAAGGTACAAAAGGCCTTTAGTTTAAGATAGACTAGCTGATCCATTTCTGCTAGAAATCAATTTGTGTCTTTGAAAATCTCTTTTTTAAATATATGCCTAAGTGCTTTGCTGAATAAGGACCCAGTACTCTATGGAAGTTATCAAATAATATCTATAGTCTGAAAACTTTTGCTTCTCTGCAACTCTAAGTGATCTGAATCATACCATTTCTGGCATGTGACTAGATTTATCTTGTGCAACCTCAATTACTTTGATGTTAAATTGGATATATATGTTATGTGTATATTCCTCCTTTGATGGTACATCGGAATCTGGGTTGGTTTTTTTTCTTCCTATGAAGTCATTCCATCTTAGCCAATGCAGTCACTTTGGTTAATCTCCTTGCTTCGCTTTAGTGTTCTGCCATTACTGTGTGTCACCAATGACTGTATAGCAAATATTCTTCCTAACTATGCATATTTGAATACTTAAAGTTTAGTTCTTTTAGAAATGCTTTTCAGTTGCAAGGCAGTTGCATTCCAAAACTGCAGAGTAATGGGAAAATCTCTCCTGCCTTAGAAATAGACTGTACCAAAAAGATTTGGCGATTGAGGTTTAACGAGCAAGTCCTACTAGAATAGATGCAATTTAAACAGACAAAATCATTCTTTTGTTTCTATGATTTCCCCAAGGGTTTTAACTAGTACCAAAATGTGACAGAAAAGCTCTCAATAAAATTACACTCTTAACCAGCTTGGCAATGCAGACAGAGTTTCTGTTATAAAAGTGCCCCAAGACTGTGTCATATACCCAGGTGCAGTTCTTGCCTTGAGGTTATAACCATGCAAGCAAACAAAACACTGTCTGGTGCCAAAGTGTTACAGCTGTCAGGTTACGTAAGGGTAGGGTGGTGTTAGATAGCAGTAGTTTATTGGACTGCATAATTGAAAGCTACAAAACATACTCCAAGCTGCAGTCAACTGCTGTGCAATGGATGACACAGGCTTACGTCAGGCATTCTCTCATTGCTATTAGTATGATGTACCTAGGAATTCAAATGGTAAGCACAAATGCACATACAGATATAAAACCAAACCAAAACACATTTTAGTTGTTTGCAGCTGAAATTACTTGGTTTTTTAAAACTTCATATGAGACAATTCTACTCATGTATTCATATGTTTTATTAATATGGAAAGAATGGGTATGCTGGAATTTATAAAGTTTAAGATTAGGGCACAAGTCTAGAGGAGGTGGAATTAGCATGCCTTCATTAGTCTTCATTTTCCAGACTTCTCAAAGGGAGTATTCCAGAAATTGCACTAAGCAAGATTTAGTGAAAGACGTGGCTCAGACATGGGCAAGTTCAGTAGGCTGGTCTGGGGCCCTGTGTACACTGGGGTGCAGTTTGTATTCAGGCAAGCAGTTAGATCTGCAAGTATGCACTTGTGTTCTGAAATGGCACAGGCAAAGTTTTGCAGATTCAAAAATGTCATTCTTTTGAAAATATTACCCCTTTCTGTAAGGATGATGGAAAAAGGAAACAGGAGTAGGGGATATGGGTATAGAAAAGGGTAACTACAGTTACAGAAACTACAGCTGCGTATATCAGCTACAAATTCACAAGAAGAGGGAAGGAAATAAGAGGGAGGCTGTGGCCTCACTTCCCTGATTACTAGAACTGAGGAGAATCATACAGAAACAGCTGTGTAGTCCTCTTGCATAATAGCTTCTGCTCTGCAAGTCATTGAGAAATATGCAACTCCAGACGCTTCTTTTTTGTGCTAACCAGTCTCAGAAAACTGGATCTACAAATAAGAAGGCATACAAGCCAGCTTGAACACCATCTGCACTGGCTTCTTACTCAGTGGATTAGCGACTGCCTGCTCACATATGATGAATGAACACTACTGCAGGCCCAGTCAGCATGTGTCCATTCTGGGATGGGAAAACTGGGAACTGAACCTGCAAATCTGAACCATGTTATGGTAATATTTTCTCCATCTACTGTCATTTGAAGAAGGACAGAAAAAAATTTTCTCCTACTTAATGTAGCTAGGCTTACATAACTAGAAACCATCACCTAATCATGTAATTACATGAGCAGCAATTTAATACCCTGTGAATCTTTGCTTGGCTGAGTTAAGACCAACGAGATCATCAAGTTGTAACTAAATATTCTAAATTTCCAGGCCAAGCTCAGCCATCAGCTGCACCCACACAAACTCATTGATTGAAGCATGTGGAGTTGACAGGAGTTTAATTTACAGTCGAATATAGCCAGACCTCTTTATCTTATCTTGTCTTATCTATGTTAACCAAGTTTTCATCTTAGCAGTTGTCTATAGCCTGATCTGCTTAAATTTACTAGAGTAGTTTCATTACTGACTTTTTGTTCACAAAGTAATTAGATTACTGTCATGAGTAACATGTTTGGGTGTGGAATAGCTGTCTGCACATTCTCTGCCAAAAAGCTTGCTTCGTAGACATTAGGTCCTTCTCTTTGTCTTGGGGTAACAAGGCTAATGTTAGGGAAGGAAAACAACTCGCCTCCAATGCACATAAGGTCCTGTTACTCCTTGGAAGCTTGCAGAACTTTGTCTATCACACTCATCAGAGAGACCAAAGATCATTTTGCCTCCATCTGTGCTATTTTCAGGGTTTTTGCAAATGCTTGTAATAGCATTTTTCAGTGTAAATAGGATTTTCTGCAAGATCTGAATCCAGAGTTTCAGGCCTTCTACATGGCCTGTAAAGCTTTAGACATCTTAAAGCAGAATGCTTATACAAAAAGGCCCTTTCTTATCAAACAGATCTAGCTGTAGTGTGCATTCATAGCCATACACTCTTGCTGTAACATGAAAGAAGGAGCCAAGTCTCCTGCTTTTTAGCAGTGTGGAGACAATGACGTGTGTTTTATTATATCTCATACATCACCAGCTGCCAAGCTGTGGTGAGTTACACATCTACAGTGAGGTACCATAGATGTCCCTGAAGGCAGAACATGGCCTGAATGGCTGCACAACTGATGATGTTCTACACAAATACAAGAATTCAGTGTGCTACAAGGAATACTGAGTTAGCAGTTACAGAAAAATTAATATTTTAATTATAAGCTGTACACTTTCAATCAGGAAATGATAGAAAAATAATTCAGAATTTCTATTTTAGACAGTTTTCAGGACAGCACTGTACTTAAAAAAACACAGCTAATTATGAAGAATCTCCAAGGTTCTCTCCACCAATTCACAATTTTCTGTAAGGATGCCTTTGTTCGGGGAAGGCAGCAACCCTGCCCCTTTCCCACGCCACACTCCCACCTATGTTCTCCTACTGTTCCCCAGACAGGCATTTCCTGCTAGCCCGCAACTTGTCTGCTCCCTTTTTCAGACTGGAGAGGCCTGCAGTACTGCTCTCGATTCTGCCGCATGTGCATATGTTCCTCCACGGTGCTGTGAAGGGGACAGGCTCTCAGGGGCAGTGCAGTGCGTTAGGCTCAAGCTGTGGGCTTCTGGTGAGTGTCCTGCTATACTAAAGTTACTCCTTCCAAGACTGCGGAAGCAGAGCACTATTGCTGGGACACTTGAGGACATATGAGCAAGCCCTTGGTATTTCACTTCTTAGGGAAACCCCCATGACTTCTTCAAGCAGCCAGACTTAGCACCACATATTTAGGCCCTTAAAACTGGGGATACAGGCAGGAAGAGTCAGAGAGTCCTTTGGGGGTTGGGAGAAGTGCATTTGCCCTTCACTGCAGGTAGGGATATTGTTGCCCATGAAAACATTACAGGGTTGTTTGTGGTTTTCTGTAGTCTTGTACAGTTCCTCCTGCCCCCCATCAATATTTCTATATATGGTTAGTTTGGGTGTTGCTTACAAAAGTAGTGAATAAATTTTTCAGGTAAGAGGCTGATTACTAAATGGATGGCGTCCTTCTAAAGGTCTTTAATTTGAACTGTATTTTAGAACTCATTTTCATTTCCAATCTGTTTACAAAGCAAGTCTGCTTAAGAATTTACCTGCTGCATTTCATAATAAGGGGGTTTATAATGGATTAGAAACCTTCTCCATAAAGAGGCATATTTTTGCTATGTTTGTGTATTATGTGGGGCCTTAATACAGACTGGGCTCCTAAGCATTCTTTCAATAGGAATGATAATGCTAACAGTAACAAAAATAAAGACACTTTAGATGTACTAAAATTCAGGGCATTAGCTCTGCAAGAATTCAAGTTGCAGGAAA